GGAGGGTGCGGCGAGGCGGGACGGGGTGGTGGGCAGGCGGCGGGGCCGGCCCGGTGCGGGGGAGGGCAGGGCCGGGCCGGGCCGGGCGGTTGGCGGCCGTTGGCGGCGGTTGGCGGCCGTTAGCGGCGGTTGGCGTTCAGCACGAAGGCCAGCGCCCGCCGCCATCTTTCGCCCGCCCGGCCCTGCCGCCCCGGGGACCGGGACCGGGAGCGCTGCTGGGGGGGGAGCCCCGGGAATCCTGACCGACAGCCGAACCCCCGGGCCCGGGAGTCCCCGTCCCTTCACCCCCCAGGGCGGGGGCCGGGGCAGCCCCCGGCGGGCGGCAGAGTCCGGGGAAAGGGTGGGGGGGGTGCGGGGGGCTCCGTGGCCCGTCCCGCCGAGCGGCTGGTTGCCTCCGAGGCACTGACCCGCTCCTGAAAAGCTCCCCGGGTGGTGACTGACAAGGAGCGCCCTGGGTTTGGGGTTTTTTTGCCGTTTTCAAAATGCTCAGTGATGTCTTAAGTTGGTAAGAAAGACAGTGGTTGCATCTGGGGTTTGTGGGTTTTCTGGTTGTTTGTTGTTTGTTTTATTTGTGTTTTTTTTTAAAGTTACAAATGGCAAAATGTTAAAACTCCAACGTTGTGGTTAGGCTGCATGGAAACCCGGTTGTTTAATGCACGTGGGGAAAAAAAGGAAGAAGTGAGAAAACAGGATGCCCTGTGCCCAAGCTTTTGGTGATGCTCCACTACAGGCTGTGATGAAATTGTCTTAACTTCATACATTTAAACTGGTAAATTTACCCAGGCACCTGATACGGTTAATGGAGGCTGTAATTTGCAGTTTATGGCACACTTTGTCAATCCATGGGCATCGACAGAAATCTAGGAAAGCGAATCAGGGCTCCCCAAGTTACTTGTTCTTAAGGTTGTGTAGGGTAAGCGTTCCTGTGTGTCTGCAGAGGCTGTAACTAACTGCCGCATTTATTTCCCACTCAGTGAAGCACTTTCAGAGGATTTTCTAGTTTCACAGCTAGCACTTTGGTTTTCAGTTGGCTAAATATAAGAACATCCTATTAAAATATCTGTGTTTATGCAACAGACACAAACTTCTACAAGCCATGACAGAAAAGGTCTGTTTGCAAATGTTCACACTTTGTCTTTGGTACACTATTCTGCTGCAGACAGGGGGTTGCTTGGAGTCATAACTCCCATCGTCCGTCTTTCCTGGGCTTTACCTGGCAAGTGATTGCAGGTCATCACTGCAGGCAATTCTGATAATCCCTTACCTTTATTGCAATGCATGTTGTGTTTTACTTCTTAATGGAGGTCCTTTCGGTATCTGTTCCTACAGCTCTGAATCTGGCGCCCTGTGTTTATACTTAATACTGTCATTTATTGCTAAGGAGTCAGATTTACTTCCCTTATGGATTTCCTGAGGGCACTAAGAGTGCACAAAGAGATAGCTGAGCGGGGATCCCTAACTGTTAGTTGGCTGCACTACTCCGTGTTCCTTCTGCCTTAACTGTTGCCCTCGGTGTAGCAAAGCCATGCTCTGGCATCCTTTTCCCTTCTCGACAAATGTAGGAAACCTGAGAAAAATTTTGTTTTCAGTAATCATCAGTGTTACTTTGGTACCTGGATCTAGGACCATCTGAGCAAAGGATTGCATATGTGACAAAGTAGTCCCTCACCTGAACAACTCAGTAAGCAGCAGACAAAATAAATGCTATTGGAACCCTTTCTCTTTAGTATTATTGATTTTTTGATTTTGATTTTGATTTATTAAATCTGTATAAACAGATTTATTCTGTTTATACAGGTTACCCTTTCCCTACTGCTCCTCCTGTGGATCCGTTTGCAAAAATCCGAGTGGATGACTGTGGAAAAACCAAGGGATGCTTCAGGTCAGTCTGAGATAAGAGTGTAGATACCCCTGTGTTTGTGAATGCTGACTGATTGCACTGGAGGCTTTGGTAAATGATCCATATTCATATTAATAAATGTGCATCTTTTGAGAACATACTTTGTAGTTATGGACTATATAATTTGTGGAAACTAGATTGTTTAAGGATGTAGTTAGGGACCTACAGTTATTTCATGTTTGTTATATTTTCAGGAAGCACTTAGGAAGGTCAACAGAATAATACCCAGTGTAATCACTTGTTTTCTGTACTGCTTAAATATTAGATATTCTTACATTAAAAGACTAATAATTACAAACAATTAATGGTACTTTGTGTATGGCATAATGTAATCTGTTTTACCAAACATTATACCAAAATGCATTCTTTTAGTTTTTTCTTGCAGAAATGTGATGTGGTTCCATAGCAGGAAGTTGCAAGGAAAAGTTACATATATTTCCAATTCCATTTAGGTACGGCAAACCTGGATGCAATGCAGAGACTTGTGACTACTTCCTAAGTTACCGCAGAATAGGAGCTGATGTTGAATTTGAGTTGAGTGCTGATACTGATGGCTGGGTGGCGGTGGGATTTTCCTCAGACAAGAAAATGGTAAGAGATGTATGGTTCTTCATGTTGACAGCGTGTGAACTTTTACATGCTAGGATAGAAATGGTTTTTATTTGATCTGTCACAAACAGAGCACATAAGGAAAAACGGTCTTGCTAAAAACAAAGTATCGTTTGGTAGCGAGCCTGGGAACAGAAAGCAGGCCTACTGCCTCCCAGAAACTGCCTCATCCTTCCCAATGTGTCCTTTCCCTTCTTCTCTGGGAATTACAACAGTGTTGTGGTTCAGCTCTGAATGGCTGAATGTTATTAGCTTTTTGCCTTTTGATTCAAAAAGCCCTCAGAGCGTTTTCAAGCCAACTCATGTGGAAATGTCCTGTTGCGCTTTATGTCAGTGTTAATTGGAAAAAAAGCATATCAGAAACTAAGTAGCAAATAATTTTATTCTTCAGTAAGCCAACTGACTTTCAGCAATATAAATATGGCTTTCACCATTAAACTTTGGAAATCTTTTTGTTTCTTTCATACCTCTGTGTTGTTCAAAATGACTCAAAATCTTCAAAATTGTTCAATGTGACAAAATGACTCCTGCTAATCAAAACACACGTGCTCTAGAAAGGAGTCTTGTTAAGAGTTATTATTCTCTCTTTCTCCTGGTTTTTATTTGGTTTGGGTTTATGCTTATTCCTGTGCCTAGTTTTTAATTCAAAAGCTTCATTTTTCATTGTGTTTCGATGGGCAAAGCAGGAGCACATACTGTGCAAACTTTAAAAAACCTGTGCAATAGACGACTGAGGCAAAGATGTTTTGTCCATGATCCTTGGTAAAATATTTAGGATTAAAATGCAGTTCATAATGAGGTGTTCGTATACAGAAACACTCCTGAATATACGAAACAATACAGACCTATGTCCTAAATCACACGTCAGAGGACAGGACTGTTTCTTGTACACTTGTAAGCAGTAGTCTGAAAAACCACATAATTCAGACATCCTGGGCTAGGACCCACCAAAATGAATGGGAAGACTTGCACTGACTTAACAATGTTTTTATCAGACCTCAAATGAGAAATAGAAAGAAAATGGGAGGGGAGATGCTTTTCAGTTGTTACTATATATGTTTTAAAATGACAGAGTAAATAAACACAATGAAGATAAAAGTCTTTTGTGTTATAAAGAACAGTTCACATTGCAAGCAATAGTCCGTGTTTTCAATGCTGTGAGCAACAGTTTACAGCCAAATTTTGGGAAGAGCTTAGATGCCTGAAATGCAAGTACTCCGCAGAGTTTTGGAAGCAGCTCAGCATGTTTAGATGTTTGGCCCCAAGCTATCGGAGATTGTGTGACCAGTTTGTAACTCTGATATATCTGCAGTAGGTCCCAGGGTCCCACCGCCTGCAGGGAAAATCACCTCTGGAAAGCACCCATTACATTTTATCCCAGGCACATCAGCAGCATGTTAGGTCTCCGCTTCCAGTGAGAAGAAGAAAGTCAGTGTGAAGTGAAAGATTTTGCTTCCAAAATGGCTGCGTACATGTTCTGATGCCCATACATCACCTGGACTAAACCAGCTAGCATTTGTCTTCCTCTCTCATTCGCCTGCTGACTTCATCCTTTTTCATAACTTCCAGGACGTTTTGGTGTCCTGGGATACAGAGGCTGTAACAGTAAAATGACACTGGGTCAAAACCACAAGGAGCTGGCTGTGCCTTTGAAGCCCTAATCGAAATGGTGTGGCCTGAATAGCTACACAAGTTCAAGAAAAAAACCCCTATTTTATGTCCTCAATAGATTTTTTTTTTAAGTCCTGTGACCTGTTTCTTTGTCTCAAATAACGTTATGCTTTTCCACTTGCAGGCTTTTGTGCCTAGGCAGGATTTTGTAATGTCATTCTATTATTAGTTGAGATTCAGAATGCTATTTTATTTCCTTTTAATTTTTTTCTATGTGATAACAGCTTTATTTTTGCCTCTGTACTTAAGACAGGGATTTGTACTCAGATGTATAAAAATTAAACTTGGAAAATAAGTTATGGAGCAAGGATGGGCTCAAGACAGAAGCTGGAAATGTTGCCTGTAGCAGCATCAAGGTGCAGAAGCTGTTCAAGCACGTGTTTTACCTTGCTCTCCCCTTTTTCCCTCACTTTTGGCACATCTTTTACAAATCCACATAGCAATATTCCCAGAGAGCTTAAATGCACCCTTTTCCTCTCCTTTCCCTGTGACAAAGAACCGGGAGCTGATCATGCTAGCAAGCATCATTGTCTATCCTCAGCATGGCACATCAGAAAGATTAGCATTGGAGAAGTAGGGCCTGTATTTAATGTGTCACCAATACCTGTGGCAGTGGGGTTCGGTAAAATGCCATTCATCCAACTTGCACAGTGTTTTAATGGGCTTTCTATGATACTAAGGCTTTCTACTCCTAAAATTAATGCTAATCCCTGAGTGACACAGTGCTCTACCACTTTGGCAGTGACCTTGAGTAACTGTTCTAGCAACTGGCTTAATATTTCTAATAATGATCTCTACAAGTAATTGTCCTCACACTTCCTTCTGTCTGTTGTTTCTTTGCTTGATTGTAATGCTCGGTGGCTGTTTATATTGTGTGAAGAAGCACATATTGATTACATTTTTCTTGTATCTTATGGTATTCTCTTACTACATGCTGAACATTTTCATTTTCTCTTAAGAGATACAAGAAGCGACGTTCCCTTAAGTGAACGTGAGAAAAGATTAGAAAAGACAGGCTGTAATTTGTGCTATTATTTTCCCATATATAGTTGATTCATCTCCACTACTTCACTAAACTATATTGGTTTTCTGTCTGTGATTTGATGCAGTGGATTTTGTACACATCAAGGATTCAAGGTCGCCAATTTTTATGAAGCAGGATCCCAGAACTTCACAAATTATGAAAGAAAGCAGCCTTCCACTGGTCAATTAATTATGTGATGTCAGGGTGATATTATGTCTTAAAAATATGTTATACATGTTAGGTAAAATTAACCCGTAGGAAGAACCAAAAGAGAATTCAGAGATAGTAAGGGTAAGTAAATATTGCCATCTACTTTGTACTTTTCAATCTGATTGAAGACACGTGGTTAGGGAAACAAATATTTGTGTATATATAACTTAGAAAGAAGGAATGAGAGCCCCAGGTTTTGATTAGTTTTTAATAATTAAAATTATATGCATAAATGAGGAAATGCTTTGTGACACTTCTGTTTTCCTTCTACCCTTATGTTTTTACCGTGTAGGGAGGAGATGATGTCATGGCTTGTGTTCATGATGATAATGGAAGAGTCCGAATACAGCACTTCTATAATGTTGGTCAGTGGGCTAAAGAAATCCAGAGAAATCCTGCTAGAGATGAAGAAGGGGTTTTTGAAAACAATCGTGTAACATGTCGATTCAAGCGTCCGGTATATGTTCCCCGAGAGGAAACCATCGTAGATCTGCACTTGAGTTGGTACTATCTGTTTGCTTGGGGTCCAGCAATTCAGGGTGAGTTGATTTCCATGCTTCTGACAGAACTAGGGTTTCAAAATTCATATATGTCTTTCAGTTTCAATATTCTTCCTAGATGCCTTTTTTTAAAATGAACTACAATTCTGGCAGCATGAGGCTTAAAAACAGATAAAAAGGAAGTCAAGGTAAATAACAGTCCTACATGTCATGTTTCCTTGACTATATAGTTATTACCCCCACTTCCTAAAGCTAAATTTAGAAGAACTTCATAACTAGAAGTTCTGAATTCTGTTGAAGGATGTTTATTGTTTAGTTGAATTTAATTCAGAAATTTAATTTCAGAAAGCAGAGAAAGTACCTTACTGAGAGTGCAATATTGCATGCTCCTGTAGGTTTGAAAATTACTTGGCTGTCTATCTGTTTCTTTGGTAGAGTTATAGAAAAAATGTACCTGACATTATTTCTTTCTGCCCTTACCTGTTAAAGGTTCTATAACTCGTCATGATATAGACTCACCACCTGTATCAGAGCGTGTTGTCAGTATTTACAAGTATGAAGATATTTTCATGCCATCAGCTGCCTATCAGACCTTCTCCTCTCCATTCTGCTTGCTCCTCATTGTTGCACTGACCTTCTATTTATTGATGGGAACCCCATGACCGATGGAAGATAGCAAGAATTTGTCAGCGGAAGTTTCTCAGGATGGACTGCCCTACGGATGGACGATGCATTTTTCTATTGGAATTTATATCACACCACCATCATCATCTAGCTGCTTTCAGACATAGTTAGCTTCTCAGAAGAATGAAATAACCATCTCCTTTGAGTGGCAGAGTGGTGGCAAATCATTTAAGAATAATCAGTGAACAAATCAGTGTTGTGACTACTTGCTTAAAGAAAAGGAGACTTTTGTAAAATCAATATGTGTGTGTGTGCGCGCGTGTGTATGTGTGTTTGGGAGGGGTGTCTGTATGTGTGTTTAGGTGAATTTAGTAATGGACATCTTATCAAATAACAAAATTGCCTTCCAAATTGCTCCCAGAAAGCAAATTTGGGAAAACATTATAACGCTGTTTGGTAGTTCTGATGCAGACAGCACAGCTCCAAGTGCAGTTTCTGAACTTAAGATCAAGATACCAACATAGCAGTATAAAACCTGCCCTTCAGTAACGGACAAATCTCCCAGATGTTTTTGTATTTATCAAGGTTTACTTGCTCTGGTACTTTCCAAAACTAAACCTGCATAATCAAGCATTAACATGATTTTTTTCAATGGAAAAAAGGTGGTGAATGTCTATAACATAGTGCTTCAACAGCCTTCTTGAAAGAAATGGCTACTTCTTTTATGAGTGAGATATAAAGTTATTTTAACAAAGGGAAGGAAGAATACAGTAATGTAAATTCTCCATATATAGGAAAAAACAGGTGTAAAACATAGAGAATACAGAAGTTCCCAAGAAGCCATAGGACGTCCTCCTAATAGATTAAACCATTTCTTTTCCTCTTTTTGTGAAAAAACAGTATTATTGCTGACATGTAAATATGTTTTTAAGCAGTTGTGGAGTAGTACAAAGTAATCTGTTTTTCCGTGTTGTATGCCTGTATATCTGTTCATGTTAAAGATGGATATGGGCAGCTGGTGTTAACTTGCAAAGAAATGGAAATATAGTTGAGATTATTTGTTATGAAAGGTAGGGATTAATAAGAAGAGCAGTATCTTTACTTTCATCAAACTATTGCTAAAATGAAGTTACTGTGGAAAAAGATGAGCTAAAGAGGAAATACATTACATTTTTAAATCACCAATAAATGTTACAAAGATGTTAACAAGTGTTACTGAAATTGAAAGTGTCAAGTGGTACTTAAGAGCCACAGAAATTTATGAAAAACTTTGATTTCTTGTGGAGAATTTCTGTTCTTCACATAACAGGAAGTGTATGACGTATACATGTAGCAGTCAAATGTGCTTAGATAGATAAGGCTGCTCACTCCCCAACTTGCATTAAAATTCTCTTTAAATAGAATTAAAAAATTGATTGTGGCAAAGTTCCATCTAATGTGGTATGCTTGAGGACTCTGTAACACAGGATCTGGCAAAGTATGTGATGAGCCGCATTTCTATTTTCATGGCTACATAGAGTAAAAAGAGTAACTAGCTTTGCTGGGTTTGCATCATTATTCACAGACTGAAGTTTGTAGACTAATATTCTTCAGGCTCAGCCTTCTTCAAATCTATGCTTATAGCATATGAAATGGGTTTGAAGAGGAATTTACTTCCATCACAAACAATTTATCCCTATTTCAAAAAGAAGATTGCTTAGTAGTATATACTTTTATTGATATCTTTAAGAATTTGTTCACTAAAAATTGCTGGACTAGAGTTCAGGAGGGGAAGAGAAATTCGGAATGAAGTGAAATTTAAAAGTGCATGTAATCGCTTGATTTAGTGTAAATTACTTCTCTCAAGTTGGATTGTCTACTCATCATCTGATGAAATACATAGTGGAAATCACCTAATAAGGAAGATTGGCTTTGGTCCATCAGAGCTGTAAAGCTGAGCCTTAAGATTGACTGAAGCAGAGAGCTGAAGCCTTGGATAATGAGTTTTATACTCAGCAACCAGGTGAAGTGAAGAAATCATTAGGGCAAATTCTTTTTCCCTTGTGCTAATTTGCAGGCAGCTGAGAGAGTTGACATGCTGCACTTCCTTCTCAGAGATCACAGCCATTTAAAGTAGCCGTGGGGTTGCTTTAGTTTATGGCCTTGTATTTACTGTTTTATTTTCAGGTATTTACCTAATTACCCACTAAAGGGCTAATCTAATAATTGTGAAGTGCTAAAGTAGGATAGAAACACATTTTGGCTCCTCTTTTCTTCTTTAATGCAGCGCTGGATTTAGGATAGCATGGGTGGACCTGAGCATAGAGGTACGTTAAAGGTGACAATAATAATAGAGAGATAAATGTGTAGCATCCATAGAGCTGCCTTCCACTTATATGGAGTCAGCTGTGTTTAAAGTCCAGGCTCTAAAGCAACAGCAGATTCAGAGCAGAGGCAAAGCTGCTCTTCACAGTGCACAAGGAATGTCCCATGTAAAGTGTATCTGCTTCAGTCTTCAGCTGTCCCCCGACTTCTCAGCTAAGGTAAAAATACTGTTTCTTTTCTGGTCACTAGGTTAAGTGTGCTGGCTGGTGTTTTTGTCATATTTTTCTCTTGTTGAAGTATTAGCAGAAATGTGCACATCAAAGTACCTAACTAACACTAATTAAGTATTTCTAATCAAACGGGAGGAATAAAAGTCCACAGCAAGCCCCAAACCAACCCATTCTTTGGTATTTCAACTGATGGCTGAGTTTAGCTAGTAAACTGTTCCAGAATTTTGCATATTACTTGCCAGATAGTAAAGCTGTAATTCCTGCTCTAAACACTTTGCAGGTAGCAGAAGTAAAACAGAAGAAAGTGTAAGGAGAGTTGAAAGCTGAAAATAACTATGGCAAATTAAAAGCAAGAGTTGGGGTAAGTTTCTTTCACTAAAAGAAGTTTGCTGTCTTGTGGTGTTTTGTCTGAGAGTTGCTCTTTAGAGTTGGAAAAGCAGGAATAGGAGATTCAAGTTGACAAACAAAGAAGGTGCAAGTGCTTAGAAATTAGCAGTTGGGAAGAAATATGAGAATAAGAAGGCCATAAGATAAACAAAAAGGCTTTCACTCAATGGCACTTAACTTTGTATGATATTTGATAAGTCTTAACATTTGAGTGGGCATAATAACTTGTCATGGAAGGTATTTTGGTTCTCATGGGTTTTTTCCTTTTAATATTGAAAAACAGGATTGATCCCTGTTATACAAAGTACTACAAAGTAGTACATATATACTACACTACGAAGTCATTTTTTTGGAAGTAATTTTTAAATTATTAGATAATTTCAAATAGTTTTTCATATTTCTCTAATTGACAGGTATGTTGTAGTTTAACCCCAGCCAGTAACTAGGACCATACAGCTGCTTGCTTGCACTGCCCACCCCCCACCTCCCGAAGTAGGACAGGGAGAAGAGGGAGAAAAAGGAGGGGTGAAAAATGAAAAAAAAAACCCAAACAACTCATGGGTTGAGATAAAGACAGTTTAATAGGACAGCAATGAAAAGGGGGGAAAAAAAAAAAAAGATAGTAGTGGTAAAAGAATATACAAAATAAAGTGATGCAACACAAATTGCTCTCACCACCCGATGATCAATTGCCCAGCTCATCTGAGCAGAGATCACAGATCCCTGCCCAGCCCCCATAATATACTGAGCATGACGTCTATCGTATGGAATATTCCTTTGGTCAGCTTGTTCTGTCTATGCTCCTTCTCAGCTTCTGTGGAAGCTGAAAAAGTCCTTGACTTACTGTAAAAGTTACTTAGCAACAAGTCAAATAATATATTTTATCAGTATTATTCTCATACTAAATCCAAAACACAGCAGCTACTAGAAGAAAATTAACTCTATCCCAGCTGAAACCAAGACAAGGTACCAATACAAACTAGAGCAAAAGGTCTCCTTTGGGAGAGGAGGCAGATGTTTCCTCTCCAAATCAAATAATTTTTAGTTTCCTTATGGTGACTACTAGCAAACAGTTGTTAAATAACATGTTTCCAAAGTGCTTTGATTTTGTGAATTCCTTGCTGCAGGGTGACCTAATACAGAAGCATGAAGTTTAGAAAGTGCGTGTTTAGAGTATGGTGTCCTTTGGGAATTTGACTATTAATTAGGAAGATAGAACTGGCAAAGACCATAAGGCATTAATTGATGTCCTTATATATGTTCCTTCTACGCAGAACACAATTCAGTTGTGACCGTTGCTTGTTACATTAACCATATTATCACCCTTTGCTCACTCTGTCTGTCTCATCTAGAAGATTTTATACTTAGTTTGTAAGTTAGTTGGAAGAGAAATTAGCTGTTTATATTTGTGACAGTACCTATGGCAAAAGGACCTTGTTTTTGACTGCAATGTCTGACTGGTACCATACTACAAATAATAATCTAGGCCTGAAACCACATTAAAAATAAGTAGGATAGGAAAGAGAGAAAAATAAGCAGAGTAAAATTACTTGCAGGAATTTATTTTTTATTTTGTTGGAATCAAATAACTATGTATATTTTTATGTGTAGGTGAGATAATCCTAGATGCTAATTGATTCCCCTCCAAAAAAACCCTTTGCTGATTTGAAAATGTCATTGGTTACTGGATGATGCTTTCTCCAAAACTTTATTATTATAAGGGAAATACTCGGTTTTGGAAAGAGAACATATTGATGAGAAAAGTTTGAAATCCCTCTGTGGCATACTTGTCCTATTTGGTTGGTTTTGCAATGCTTGGATAGCAAGAAAATTAACACTTATGGTCTCCCTAATCTGACGAAACACCCAGACTGTGTTAAAAGTTGACAAACTGTTAAGTCAGTTTGGCACTGACTTCTCCAGTTTCCAGCACTTGTAGACAGCAAACCCGGGTTTTGAAGTTCAGTGGGGACACCATGTCCTGGGTCTGAACCAAGAAGAATGGCCCTGCAACTGCCTCCATATACTCAGTGGCCACTGCGAAATGGAAATAACAAAGAGCACAACCCATCCTGTGCCAAATCCCTTAAATATGTGTACCTTCTTTTGCCAGACTGTCGATGGTGTTCTTACTGTGAGTGTTAATGTCTAGTCTTCCTCTGAAAAGTACTATGCTCCTTGTCACCAACCTGTGTACTGTCCCCACTTCCACAGATACTTTATGCTATTTAGTGAGGTGATCCTGGGAAGTTTTAGCCCAGCTGTGAAGAGGAGTTAGTGGGTAAGGAGGACTGACACACAGCTGTTGTCATGATTATCCAGGTCACAATTAGAAATCTGTGTCATTAACAATATCCCAGTTATCTGTAAGTCAATAATTGCTATAAGTTTGAGGGGAAAATGCAGGTGTCCCTATTTTTTGTCTGTCTTCTCCTTACTTTCCCATCTATCCAGTGCATCAGACATTTGAAAAGAAGTAAATTATTCTCCTCTGTCTGATCTTTCTGATCACTTCTGGGTCCACTGGAAGTTTGCACCATGCCATAATCTAGAGACAGAATTAAAGCTTATATACAGACTTTGTAACTTTCATTAGCATTTGAACTGCATTTTGTGACTCCTTGTTTTCCTTGGTTTCACACACCGATGTGTAGCAGGTGTACTTACCTTCCTCCCTTTTATTTTTTCAAGATGTTTAAATAGTTTCCCCAAAGTAAAGTATTTGGTAATAGCTTTAGGAGAAGGAAATAAGTATTTCACAGAACTACAGAAGGTCTAATATGACTTATTTTCAGAGATATCTATTGTGAGAGTGCTAGTATTTTATGCAAAGTGTGACTTTGTATAGAGCCTTAGATTTATGATAGCAGTGGGAACACATTTAAATATTGCAATTGTTCCAGTGCTTTGTGGAGCTGTGTATGTGCATAACCTGCGGGAACTGGCATCCTCTGCTTCAACCCTGACTCCTCAGCACGTAACGAATGGGCAGAGCTGCCTGCTTCAATGCCATAAAGCGAGGCCCCAAACAGTTTGGGACAGAAGTGGTAGTAAGAGGTACGTACTACTTACTGGTAGTAAGGCTGAATGACAAGGAAGGGCTAACAGTTCTGGCATACGCCCTATTTTTGCATGGATTTACATGTGGCAGAGCCCGCCTGGCACTCCTCATCACAAGCAAATATTACTGGATGTGAATGGGAGGGACAGAGTCTGACTTTAAGGAGAATGTAGCTTTTCTGCAGGTCCTAGCTGTGTAAGGGCTGGTGTGAGCACGAGGTCAGACTGTGCCTCCCAATGTGTGCCCCCGTGGAACTCCAAGGGAAGAGCCAGAGGCTTGATCTTGCCTTTGGAGTTATGAAAACCTGTCAAGACCCCATAGACAGTAGAAACCATTGGCTGCTGCGCATATACCTGGCCATTTTACAAACTACAGCTGCAGCAGTTCAGGTATTAAAAGATGGAGGCTCTAGATCTTTTCTTAACAGCTTTCGTTGTACATCATCTATTTCCCTAGATAAAATTTCCTTATCAGTATTTCTGTAGCTGTGTTAGGGCCTAATGCAGCTCTCCCTCAGCCTGCCCAGTGCAGATATGGATCTAACTGGCAAGTTTTAAAGAAAATCTCAATTTTCTGAGCACAAAAATTAATCAAAAGAAAATAATTTATATTTACTGACCATATGTTATCTTTTCACCACATCTTTTTTCCATATCTAGTTATTTCTGTGTAATTTATATGTCAAGATACTTTATTTTTGCAGATACAGAGTAAGATCTAGGCAAACCTTCCTTTTCTAAGCCTGTTTTATTAGTATAAAATAATCACTTGGGTAACTTCTTTTTTTTTTTTAGTTTTTACAGTGAGTTTGTTAAAATTATATATGCTTGGACTTGGTTATTTAACTTATCTAATTTGGGCTTAGATACTGAGGCAAAAACAGTGTGATTTTTGAAATGTCAAGGAGGATGTGTGCAGCTTGTGGAGCTGATAGGTGTGAAAAAGCAGACTGAAAAGACATTACTTTCTTTTAAAATCTGTGATTTGAATTGGCAATAGCAATGGACCTGCTGTAAGGAAAGGGTCAGGTTTGTGTTTGGGTTTTTTTGGATTGCTAAGCAGTTTGAATTGCACTCATTAGAATCATAGAATATCTCAGATTGGAAAGGACCCGTAAGGATCATGGAGTCCAACTCCCTGCTCCTGGCAGAACTGCCTAAAACTAAACCATATGAGTAAGGGCATCCTTCAGATGCTCCTTGAACTCTAACAGGCTTGATGCCATGACCACTTCTCTGGGGAGCCTGTTCCTGTGACTGACCACCCTCGCAGTGAAGAACCTTTTCCTAATGTCTATCCTGAACTTCCCCTGGTGCAGCTTCATAGTAATTCACAACTGTTGCTTTTGCCCTACTTCTGTCTTTCTTATCTAAGCAGGATGTTCTTTCAAACTGCTGTAAGGCTGGAATACGTGCAGGACTTCACAGTCCATATTTTAGAAGAGCTGCTGCTCTGTATAGGCTAGTTTTGATCTGCAATTAGAGGCTATTTAGGAATGTACTTACAAGATGAACTTTTATATGGCACTCCTAAAAACTTTCTGAAAGGTGGTGTGCTCTTTATAGACTAGAGCGTTACAGAATTACCTGGTAGAATAATTTAGAAACAGCTCAGAAAATTACTACTTGCTCCAATCCATATTTACATTTTTAAAGAAGTAATTGGATTTTTCAAAAGTGCCGAGCAGCTGCAAATCTGGAGTAGGCTCCAATGCCTACTCAGGGCAGTGAACATTTTATGGCAACTAGCGATTGCAATGTGTTGCCTAATTTAGTTTCACATCTCTCCCAAGCTTGACATCATTCAGTTCAATTTCATAAGATGGTATTAGTAAAAGACTAAATAAAGGAACAATTCACTTAGGTTGTGTGCCAAGGAATAAAAAAATTCTTGCTGATTTTTCACAACAGTGATCTGCAAAGTTTAGATTAAGGAAAAATATTTAGGCAGTGGAAATTTCCGGAAGGTATTTTTGTGTGTATAAGTCTGAGAATTATACAAGAGAGTTTAAGAACAAAAGGGTAGAGACTGCTTTGGAGATAAAAGACGACAAAACACAGAATCCTACATGTTTCCTGACTCTGGAACTAGCTGATTTTTGGGGGTGCGGAGTGATCCAGAAGAATATATAGAAACCTGAGATGTTACCTGCTAGGGTATTATGTTTGCAGGTTTTATATACTAATTTTTTGTCACCTTCTTAGGTACAAAAATTAGCCTCATGTTAGTGTTTTTACAGTATTACTTAATTTTTTTTCGAGACAAGATGGAACAAGAATAAGTTCAATAAGTCAAGAAAATATTATCATATAAAGTATTAGGATAATAGGAAAGGAAGCACAGATAACATATTTAAATTTAGGAGGAAAACATTTTATTATTTAATTAAAAAATATGATATCTGCTTCTGCAATATTGGACTGCTTGCATATAAAGCAATGATTTCTCTTTCTATTTTTTTACAGTTGATGATACAAAAACAGTGATAAAAATTGAAATAGAAAAAATAACACAATAGATTTTCTCTAAAGCTGGAAGTATCATTCAAGTCTTGACACAGGTGGTCAAAGATGAAATTACAAACATATTAACTAATTAGAAAAATGAAATGGTGGGACCCTGATACTTGTGTGTGATGTCCCCAGCCTTTATTTAGGCAGATCTATTTTGTTAGCATATTTGAAGCATCATGAGTTCTGTTTAGGTTAAAAGAGATGCCTAGTATGCCTTGGTATTTCTGATTAATATATCCTGAGGTCTGGTTTGCTTTAACTTCATTGCAAATAAGCAGGCTGTCATAACTATGTCAACTCTTGCCACTTTGTTTTGTATTACATGAAGTGTAATAGTTGAACCTGAAATGTCATCTCTACTTTTTGACTTTGTTCAGCATTCTTAAGACTAATACATAGAAAAACATACAAATAAGCAACTTGTAACTATAGTGCTAAGTGGTGTTCTGCATTCTTTATTCCAGGCTCCATTCTGTATGCCAATAACAAACATCCACATAAAGTTAATGAGCATTTGGTGGGGTAGGAGTACAGAACTGGGGTTTTTAGCCCAGAAGTACATCATCAAACTTCTTTGTATTTATTCACTAGTTTTTTCAGAAAAATAACACCGAATGAATGCATAATTAAATTATGGTGACCTACAGGACTACTTTACAATCACTGCATGCCATAAAATATTGCTTTGTAACATCTGTTTTATACTAAAAGTTGGTGTTCAAGTGCGCCTTGTTAGCTATTTGACAGTGACAGACAACAATATTTATAAGCCTGTTATAATAAATGTCTTTTGAGTCTAAGAAAATGTATGGTATGGCATTTATAAAAGGGAAAAAAAAGTCTGTGTGAAGCTGAAGAAGTCCTTGCTGCTGCCTTCCATTAACAAATCCTTCCTGTGCCATGGGCTTGAATTTGTTACCCCAAGCAATTCCATTTAGGTCAGTGAGGCTGGTCACAGTAGTAAATTAACAGATGTGGAGGACTAAATTTTTTCTCTTTTTCACCATCAGAATCACAGTGAAGCTGTAAATAAATGTAATTACCTGTATTTTAATAAAGTACTAACCCAGTTGTCACTTACTATAAGTGAGTGTAGAGAGATTCCTGGGATGACCTTTATGCTGTGTTTTTGTAACCTGTTTGATGCAACTATAATCAAGCTGCCAATATTGCAAATTTGGGTGTTCTTTATCTACTGTCATCACTGCCCAAATGCTTGGCCAGACAGAGCAGCTCCTGAATCAGCCAGAACAGGCTTTTGCAGAAAAGGAGATGCAATAATATTAGAGATGGGGAACAGAAGGAGGAACTGTGATAATCAGCAAGCAAAAGCAGCAGTAGAAGTCACTCAAGCAGGGATGCTTCAATCTCTGTGATCTCTCAGGTTTGAGCAGGTATTTTAGCTCCTTGCTGATGGACTGAGAAGAAAAGTTGGCTGAAGGCACTAAGAAATGTATTGCTTTTACACTGTATGCTCTGTTTCTTGTGTTTGTGGTACTGCTGCCCTGTAGTTTCAGGCTGCAAGAAAGGATACATCTCGTGTGTCAGCTATTTGTGCACTATCCAAGTGATCGTGATCAATAGAGGTCTTAAATGTACGCAATAGAGGGTCTTAAATTATATTCTGTTTGTGCGATGTAACATCCAACAGACTGGTGGGGCCTTCTGTCACAAACCTGACAAGACCAAGATACTCTTCTGTTACTCAGATCTCTGTATAGCCAACTCTTGTTCCACGCACACAGCGACACTGTGGGCTAACCCTGTGAGATAGTGCTCTGATTTTGTTCATCCCAAGATCTTACTGGCACTGCATTTCGCATACGGGCCCACTGAGTGAGCATCTTTGTGTTGGTGCTATTGACTACTCTGCCTTATGACCAGCTGTTTCATTCCCCTCGTGAACCAAAGAAGTTTCATAGTCTCCTACAGGAATCATTCAAGTATAGCACTGAAAGATAATCAATCAAGTACGACACTGCTGATAATACCATATCCTTTAACTGAGATATTGAACATACTTGTTCCTGCAATGAAGTTGGTCACTGCTGTAACGTCTGGGTGCAACCAGAGCCGTTGTTCCCAACAGCTGGTTTTCATTTTCTTTTTATCACTATTTTGTAAATTATGTTTAATTTGGAGTCATCTCATCTTAGCAGTTGATCTCCATAAAAGATTTTTTTCTTTAGTCCAAAATACAAAGGTATGTGTGAATGACCTAAAGATACAAAGTTTATACCTTAATGATGAACTTTAAAGGTTACATATTTTTTCCTTTGGTCCTACTACTATTGAAACTATAGTAGTTTACATTGAGTATTTTTCATTCATCTGAAAAGGATATTACTTTGTCATTATACTGAGGTGAACTAATGAAGTGAGATTAACCTCAACTGAATGGTCAGTAGCACAGGTTAAAACAAACAAACAAAAAAGTCTCTAAAGCAGGGATAAAGTTGTTTTCTAAGTATGCAGGCCAGTGCTGACACCTTGTGGCTTTATTACTGAGTTATTTCATAGTTTCATGTGGTCATTTCAGTTACAAATCATGATTAACTTGCTGTTGCCAGTGTTGTCTGTCTCCTCTGCTTCATGGCCACCTCAGTACACAGCATTTTGATAATATATATCACAAGTAAGATAGCTTGAAACTGGGCTCTTCTGACTGCACACTGAGTGAATAAGAGCTATGGGTGACTGGGATCTCAAAGGGGACTGAAAAAACTTTGGTTTGGTGCACAAAATCACGGGTGCTAGTGCAACAGCAGACAGAATTTACAAACTTCTCTCTTACTAGTCAATATCTCATTTTATATTTCCCTCTCCATGAGACTGCACCAAGGACTATCAATCCTTACCACCTCTGTAGTTTTAGGCACATACCTGTTTTCTACATTGACACAAGAACATTCCTTTGCTGCCCTCTTCACCCTTGAAGAATAACTAGTAGTAAAAATACATCCAAGAAACTGGTGGGGAATTTCTGGTAGTACTGGATTCTGAGGGACACTACTTACCTATGGTTTAGGCATAAAAATGCCTGAACCACAATGTATCAGTGCAACTTGTACCAAAATTGGCATCTAATCTAAAATCATATAACACTTCAAATCTTAAATAAAACCAGCCTTTAAGGCCACAGTTACTGTTTGAAATCTGTTCTGGAATTAAGTGTTCAGAGCCTGAGCCGTGTCCCCTCTCAGCTATCACCTTATAGACTGTTTTCTGATGTTTGTCATAAAATGATTTGGGTTGGAAGGGACCTTAAAGATCACTGAGCTCCCTGCCATGGGCAGGGACACCTCCACTAGACCAGGGTGCTCAAAGCCCCATCCAGCCTGGTCTTGAACACTTCCAGGGATGGGGCATCCACAGCTTCTCTGGGCAACCTGTTTCAGTGTCTCACCAGCCTTAACATTTATGGTCATTTATGTGTTCTTAAGTGTTCATGTTGTGGTAATACATGAGTTAGAAATCTTGATTTTATTGCATTGTGGGTTTGTTGTTGTTTTGGTGTTTGTTTTTCTTTTTTTTTGGGGGGGGGGGGCTGGTTGGGTTTTTTTGTTTTAATTTTATTTCTGATCTGTTCAGTTGTTTATAATGAATAGGGAAACATTGAATTGGAAAGAAAAGGTTTTCTGCAGTAGGGACCAAATCTTTAGCTTATGTAAATCAATATTTATAGCTTCACTCAAGTTAAAGAGGTGACATTAATTTCTATTCCTGAAGAACATGACTGCCTGAGTCTGTTAAGAAAAATCAAAGGAATATGGATGTGCCTATGAAGATTTGATTTGTTGGCATCTGTTTATCTAAGAGGGGGATTTGTACTCTCAACTCCCTCCCCCTGCCCCTTTTGTGGTAAATCTCAATTGACACTTGCTAATTAAACTTTAATGCAATAAATGTGTTATATTGAGCCATTAGAGTCCCTTTTTGGCATGCTTCCTCTGCTCTGCAGGAACTGAAGAGAAAAGGTTCAGGTAGCAATGCCTGCTTGTTACCTTTTTTTAACACCCTGCCAGAAGGCAGATCTGTCTGATCAAAGAGCAGTGAGTGGCAGTGTCGTTTTAAGGTGCAATAAAAGCTTTTCACATGGACAACTGCTTGTAATGCCTCATCACCATCAGGATCAAACGAGGTACCTGTGGGTCTATAAATGCCTCAACTGTGTGAAATTAAAGCACTTTGTCAAACTCAGAGGTGACCTGTTCAGCAATGGAAAGCAAGGAGCTGCAGGAGCCAGCATGGAGAAGTCAGGGAAACATAGAAAATTTGGGACTGGGGGGCAAAAGCTTGAGGAAACTGGCTGGGCTCAGCCCCACCTACAGCTGTAGGATGCCACACAGTTACAGGAGGTGTGTGGAAAAACCTCTACCTTTTCCTCCTTGGGGTCGTGATGAGTGAGTCTCAGCTATAGACTATTGTCTTTATATTGCACTACCTTTAAAAGCTGGGCTATGAACAGTAGCCCCATTGTATAAAAAACGATTGTGCTCAGATCTCAGATAACTTCAGCTTTTAGACATCCACACCACACAAAAAAAATGCACCACCAGACTCCTGGCAGACACAAATATACCATGAAGTTACATAGTTACATAATGTTAAACTTGCATATAAATCCTAAAAAGAACCAAAAAAAAAAAGAAAATGAGGGAAAATATCAGATTTTTACATGTTCAGAGGTGTAGAACCTCTGTAATATATGGAGGATATGCTGCATTTCTCACCCAGAAGAAAGAGGAAGATGCCTCTGGGGGGTTTGTAGCAGTGTTACCGATTGCTTCGCTACCTGCTGAAGGGTTGTGTTAAGCTGTGAAAGGAAAACTGAGTAGCACAGTGCTGGCAGTTCAGATGTTGTGGGTTCCTGCCCTCACAAAACTTGCTCAGACCAACCATATTTACATAGAGGCATTTAGATCACCTGTAAAACATTAGCTGTCACCCTCATGTACGGACAGAAGGCTGGTGTACGCTGGATGCAGGAAATTAGCTCCCCCCTAGGTTATTCGCAAAAAACCATTTGATGAAACGTAATGTCACAAATGTCAGGTCTAAAAAAAACCAGACAGAACAACCACTTTTCAGTATTGGGCCTAATTCCCAGTAAAAGCACAGATGCTTCCTTGTTAAATAACTCGATGCCAGAACATGTTCAGACATGGCAAAATTCTCCAGCTCGTCTAACCAGTCTTGCTCTCCACCTTGCAATGATACTGCAAATTCTCAAATCATAGAATGGTTTGGGTTTGAAGGGACCTTAAAGATCATCTAGTTCCAACCCCCTGGCCATGGGCAGGGACACCTCCCGTTAGACCAGGTTGCTCAAAGCCACATCTAGCCTGATCTTGAACACTTCCAGGGATGGAGCATCTACAGCTTCTCTGGGCAACCTTGCCAACCCTCTTCCAGTTCGACCTTGTTCTATCACTACCTGTGCTTGTAAGAAGTCCCTCTCCAGTTTTCCTGTGGGCCCTCTTTGGGTGCTGGAAGGTGCTATGTCTCCCCAGAGCCTTCTCTTCTCCAGGCTGAACAATCCCAACTCTCCCAGCCTGTCTTCACAGAAGTGCTTCACCCCTCAGATCATCTTCATAGTCCTCCTCTGGACATGCTCCAGGAGGCTGAGGGGCAGAATCACCTCCCGTGACCTGCCGGCCACACTTCCTTTGATGCAGCCCAGGATGGGGTTGGCTTTCTGGGCTGCAAGTGCCCATTGCCGGCTCATATCGAGCTGCTTCTCATCCACCAATACCTCCAAGCCCTTCTCCTCAGGGCTGCTCTCCATCCACTTTCCAGAGACTCCGGCCGCAGCGGGGAGGGGAGCGCGCATACCGGGGCTGCTGTGCTGGGGCTGAGGACCTGAAGGGAGCTGCCGGGCACTTCCAAGCCGCAGCCTTCGGCACCCTTCTTCAGCAGAAGGCGGCGCCGGGCAGCGGCGCTCGGCGGGCACCGAATCGGGACGGGACGGGTGAAGGACTCCCGGGCAGGCCCTGCCCGCGGGGAGGAGCGCGGCCGCCCGGCTCTCCGGGAGCGGAACTACATTTCCCAGCACCCTTCCCCCGCCGGCAACTCCCTTCCCCGCCGGGCTGGGCCGGGCCGGGCCGGGCTGGGCTGGGCTGGGCTGGGCGCAGGCCCGTGCCCGGAGCCGCACGGCGGCACTACAGCCCCCGGCCGCCTCTCCGCGCCTTCACCTCTGCCGGCGGCAGCGACGGCCGGACCCGCGGCCGTGCCCGGCGCTGCGCGGGAAGGGGGCGGGCGCCATGGCTGACAGTGGAGAGCCCCCGGCGGCCCCGGACGCGGCCCCTCCGGGTTCGCCGGAGCAGAGGCGGCGGCCGGGCGGCTCCCCCAGGGCGGAGGGCGCGGAGGCGGCGGCGGCGGCCATGCCGCGGCTGCCGCTGGGCGGCCCGGGCGGGGCGGCGGGGATGTCGCTGCCGCGGCTGGAGAAGCCGATCAAGCAGGCCTTCTACAACACCGGGGCGCTGCTGTTCGCGGGGCTGTGCTGCGGGGCCGCCGTCCTGGTCTACTTCATCCTGGAGGCCTTCCTGCGGCCGCTGCTCTGGGCCGTGCTCTGCGGCACCTTCCTCCACCCCTTCAAGAGCTCCCTGACGGCGCTGGGCCGCCGCTGGCTCGGCCGCCTGCAGCGCTCCCGCACCCCCGTCCTGCTGGCCGCCCTCCTCCTCCCCATCTGCTTCGCCAACTACGGGGTGGAGGCGCTGGGCGAGCAGGTGCTGCGGCGACGGCGGCTCCTGCTGCTCCTGGGCGCCGGGGGACCCATCCTCTACGGGCTCTACTGCCTGGGCAGCTCCCTGGGCGTGCAGGTGCTGCTGGCCCAGGCCGCCCGCCTCATCTGCCAGGGGCTGGACTACTTCAGCAGCCAGTGGGTGAGTGCCCGCCCGGGGCGGCAGGGGGGGGCGAGGCGAGGGAAGGCGGCCGGCGGTCGCCCCCTCTGCACCTCAGGGAGCGGGGGTTGTGGCCCCCGTGGCCCTGGCTTCCCGCCTGCTGCCGGGCTGCCCCCCGCGGGGGGCGGTAGCCGGGCGCGGTGCCGGCCGCCATCTCACTTGTTGCGCGGCGGCGGCGGGAGGGGGTTTGCGGGCGTTTAAAATCCTGAGGTGCCTGTTTGAAGTCGCCGTAGGTTTGGTTTTTTTTTTCTTCTTGTCTATTTTTTTTTTTTAATTTATTTTTTAGCGGAAGGACGCAGAAAGTCTCCTCGCAGCGGGTGGGGGTCGTGAGGAGGCTTGGGCCCCAGCGGCGGCAGGGGGTTGCCGGGGCAAACGGCCCGGCGGGGCAGGACAGGGCAAACCCGGCCCTCGCTGTAAAGAGCCCGGCGTGAAATAGCTGCTGAAGGAGCCGCCGAGCTCCGAGCCGCGGCGCGGAGGGGGGTGCTGGGTGTGATCCAGCGGGTGCGGCGGGAGAGAAACCCCTTTTCTCTGCGGGCGGTCGGTGCCCGGGGCTCAGCCGTGCCCCGCTTCGGGGACGCCGAGGAGCCTCCGGCGGTTTCCAGTGCGGTGTCGGGCGGCCAGGGGCTCTGCCGGGCCGGGGGGTGTCTCTGCTCAGCCTCCGCACACGGCAGGAGGCGGGGAGAGGCGCCGCCGGTGAGGGCTGGCTTCTCTCCGCACCGATTTGTTTAGTTATTTGATGTATTCTTCTCAAGGTATCAAACGGTGCGAACTCTGAGCGTTAAAAAAGTAAAGCTGTTCATTTAACTCACAAAATGTTAGTTAGGGTAACAAAAGATTCCGGGAGACTGCTTTTCCCTGTGTTGTCTTCAGTATATAAACTAGCTAGCGTTTTCACTTTGTTAATTACAATCGAAAATGCAAAAAATGCCGCGTATCTAAAGTAAAGGATATGTGAAAGCACAGGAGACCATGAAGTTGTACTTTTCTTAAATGCTGATGCATGATTGGCGTGCTCAGATTGCTTAATGTCAAAGACTTGTAAGTTTCTCTAAGTTTTTTAAACAAACAACCTACAACTTAGGATGTTTGTTTGCAAATGAGCAACGACAGATGTAGTTTGTTTAAACAAACATCCTACCCTGCCTCGGGTGGAAAATGACATATGCAGTTGGTTTAATGGGGATATATGTGGAGATAAAACTGAACAACTGTCTAAACCCAATCTTCTTGTGTGGGCAAGAGAGAGAAACTGTCAGGAAAAAACCCATACTCTAACAAGCTTGTCCAGGCTTCTCATTTTGAATTACACATGTTCTTTGAACACTAGTTTTATTCCTTTGGTTGAGCCGGTGCATGCTGATATCTCAAACACAACTTCAGAGGTGTACACGAGAAACAAAAAAGTAATAGTTCTCCTGAATGCACTGACAAAGGATATTTTGAGCTATTTCTAGTGTGACTAGGAAGGACTGGAGAATGTATTTTGTCTCTTGAAGGTAAACATCAGGAGAAGAGATTTTCTTGGCTTTCTGTTCTTAAGTGTTGTCATATGCTGGAAAATGTCAGGGGAGATGTGTTCCTGGTTTGTTTTGTCCTCAGAAGTATAATTAATACTGAGTAGATAGAGACATTCTTTCTCTCTCTCTTTATATAAAGAGGTGAGATACAACCATCTTTACCTTCAGCTGAGGGATGGGAGAATGTAAGCATGGCTTGGTACTGATGGAAAGTTTTGATTAGGTGCCACACAATTTGCTTGATCAGCTTAAAACTTTCCTTTGCATCAGCCTGCCTGCTTTATTTTTAACAAACCAACAATACTGCTGTACTAACTGACTTGGCTAAGTCCAGTCTTTTATTCAAACTTGGTTAATTAATCTGTACTTACACTGGATAAGTACAAGGATACTAAAGGAATTTGCACTGAATTAACCTCACAACTATGGTTGTAATGCACTGCTGGACGCCTGTGCATGCTAACTGCAATTTTGTTTAGCAGCGTCTGATACTTCTGTTTTGCACTGCTCTTTCGGATACGATACTTCTGTTCTTTGAAGTGCTGTAAGACTTTCACTGGGCAAAAGATAGAAAGCTCCTAGAACTGTTCTGACTTGAGTTCCTTGGGAATATTTTGGGTTCATTGTCAAAATAACTGACCATGGACTTTAGGCAAACCCATTGCAGGAGCTTTCTAAGCAAGCTGCCCAAGTCTCTTTCTGGAGCCCTATATGAGAAGAGAAGCCCACAGTTTCTTTGTAAATAACCTCGACTCAGCCTGGCATCATCTATGCACTTTACAGTGTTTTTTCTAGTCCACTTCTTTTAATTTTGCTGTTACCTGATTTGTATTATCTCAGAGCAGGATAACTTGATTTTACCTACGCTGCTGAGGACCCTTGAGCTGGATCAGTTAATAGTATCTGCTTTAACTTTGGCTAAGCATTCTAAAGCCGTTTAGTTGCCATGTTATATTGCAGGACTCTGCATGTGTGCAGTCTGCTGCTTAGCTGCACAGGAATTTTGGGCATTACGAGTCACTTTGCTCCATTGTACTGTTCTTCTCCAGGATATGAATCCTCCACAGTTCCTTCTGTATGTTTTCTTGTATGAAGATTACAACTGTGTTTGTAGATACTCTGTGTTATAAGCAAAAGTAATGGTAATTCCATTTCTTGCACTATTTCTTTTAGCAGCCCACTAAGCCAATCTAGATTTCTGTGTTTTGAAATATTTTGATACAGAATAACTTAATTAGCATAAAATAAGTATGTTTTCTCCTTGGACAGCAAGGAACACTTTCTTGCCAAGAATACAATATATAAATAATTTATTAGAAGCATAAAAGAGACAAGCAAGGATGGTTTGTTTTAAGTGTGAGACCGGTATCTGACTAGCATAGTACATTTGTTCATGGTAAATTTCGTCTTGTGAAATTGTCATTAGAATTTAACTGAAAACAGTTGCAGGTTCTGGGGATGCCAATTTGGTGTTCTCTAACTAGAGGTATTTTTATGATACCTATTAGGCAGTGATAACCGAGATGGACATCCTCTTCATTTTCAGAAGCAAATGTTCTCCAAATGCAGCAATTGCGTGGAATAATGATATAGTAAACCATATCTTGGCACCAGTATGTTACAGAGCTTTCTTCTGTTGTCCTCAAATTTGGGAAAGCCATTCATGGTGTTGCTGAATGAAGACACGCAAATACTATATGCCTGTCGGCAGTACTTAAGTCACACCAGCTATTTAGGAGTTAGGAATCCTAGATAACTCTGTGATAGACCTGTTTGATAGGTGATTGCAAAACACTGCATTTGAAGAACAAGTCCATGATTGTAGGCTAGTCTACAAGCATCTTGTTCGTACCGTCTCCTTTTCTCTCCCTTCATGCTTTACAGTTCCTGCATCATCTTTGAAGCAGCTTGCTCAAGAAGTGTAGTAGGCTGCTGGACCTTAAAGCTAGGAGCTGGTTACAGATTCCGGATGAATTCCTTGCTCTGACTCCAGCATTCTCTATGGGTTGTTTGCAGAAGTCTTATGTAGAGGACATGCACTCTACATGAACTTCAGGTACATAGGGAAGGGGTATATTTTTCTGTACCTTTTTTCATAAAAAGGAAGGGAGTTTGTCCCATAGTGAACTGAATATAGCCTTACATGTTTATATTCTTTGGCAATTTCAGCATGGTTACCCTTGCAGTTAGTGTACCTCCTGAAAACTAATCTTGTCACCCTAGTTTTGTAGGAAGTATGCTTGTATCCAGCACTATATCTAAGGTATGGGAAATTCTCCTGCTTTGTAGCAAGAGTTCTTTAGCCTGCTTTAGCCTGTGTCAGGGTTTGGGCTGGACTGGCCACTAAAATGAACGACTGATGCTAACTTCTTTCCCAAATGAGAGGGAGAGACTTAGGAGTTGAAAAGAAACTAAACTACTTTAATGAAATATTAATAATGAAAAGATAGTAATATTAATAAGAAAATAATGAATATATACAACATATACAAAACCCTGTCAAGCTCCCAGGTTGACGGTCACATCTCCAGCAGGCACTGAGAAAGTCCCAGACTGGACTCAGCAATGGACGGGAGCTGGATTCCAGATCTGGATTCAGGAACACATGGATCCAGATCAAAGGCAGGCGAACAGACAGGGTCCTCCTTGAATGTTGGCCATTGAAGAAAGAGGTTGACCCTTTGAGCCCTAATTCCAGATCTGGATTCAGGAACACATGGATCCAGATCAAAGGCAGGCGAACAGACAGGGTCCTCCTTGAATGTTGGCCATTGAAGAAAGAGGTTGACCCTTTGAGCCCTAAGCTTTTATACTGAGCATGATGCAGATGGGATGGAATACCCTGTTGGCTGGTTTTGGGTCACCTGTCCCATCTGCTTCTCCCCACAGGTGTGACCTCTCTACACTTTTACGCTTCTGACCCTCCAACAGGGCAAATAAGGAAATTGGCTGAACTTAAGTTGTTGTAGCAATAAGTATGAGCAGGAGCCTCTCTGCATACTGTTCCTTGGTATTCACTATTAATATCAGGCCTTATCTCTGCCAGAAGCGGATGCTGTACTAAAAATACGCCATTAATTTCAGAGAGTTAGAAGAGGCTTAACTGAAAAGTAAAATTACTGAAAACAAAATTGGTTCTGTTTTACCTCAAACAAGGACAGCCTGACATTTTACACTTATGGTAATATACAGGAAATGCCAACTATTGGTTGTATATTTTATTTTTTTTTTTCAGTAAGGTTTGTGTGCTTATATTTATTCTGAAAATAGTTGGTTTGTAGATTTCAGCAGATGAAATGAATTATACAGCTGCTCTACATTGACTCTGAAATTCATCTTGGTAAATGAAATCTGATATAATTGGCAGAATTCTCTGGAGTGAACATGCTTACAGAGCTGTCAAAATCTTTCTCCCGTGGCCAGTCATTCTTCCTGGGTTTGTCACAAGCTATTGGTCAGGGTTAG